GAAAAAGCTAGCACATGAAATACATTTTCTCTGTTTTCTTACTCCCTGCCCACAGTACTGGAAACATTCACTCCCCTTTATTTTATTTTTAATCTTAGTTATATAGTAATATGGGATCATTACTATGTTGTCCTACAAAACTGAACCATCAGTTCTTCCTTGTTTTAAAGTTTCTATGAATCTACAGAGGAACATAGGGGAAAAAAAAGAAAAACCTGTTCCCTATTGCTTTGATTAGCATAGCATCAGAGCTTCCCTATAGATGGAAAAGTTTTTTTAAAAAAAATAGAAAAGATTTGCAATTGTTTTAAAATAGATAATGAGGGAGGAGGAGGCCTGGAGGAACATTGTCCATGGGGTCGCGATGGGTCAGACACGACTTTGCAACTAACAACAACAATAACAACAACGAGGGAACAATATACGAAGGCATTTAGGTGTGAGAATCTGAGAAAACAAAAGAAAATAATGCGGTCTAATGAGAAGTGAATAATTCACATCATGGTGAAACTGCACCTACCCCACTGCAATGGAAAAAAGTTGCAATATGTCGTGATGTCATGTGACATTGCAAGTTTGACACCCCTGCTCTACAATTTCTTGATTGAGCAGAAGACCAAAACATAGAATGAAAACTGAGCATCTAGATAAATATAGGAATCACTGTATAGTGTAGTAGAAGAACAGGGAAACACATATCCCAGCAGATTTTAAGAGAGAAAAAAATAATCTTAGTAGCCCTAAAAGAAACATTTTTGTAGCAATTGTAGGATTATTTAAGGGACATTTCCACCATCTCTGTCTATTTTAAATGGGCCAACTTTCTAAAAATGTAATTAAATACATTTTAAAATGTTTTACTCTTTCCGCTTCAGACTGTTACAAAATTATTACCCAGCTTTCAGTTGACAGTTTGAACTATCAGTAAAAGTGAACATTCTCCCTCTTTTCCCTGCTTCTATCAAGAATGAAAGCCCTCCTGCTGTCAAACCATGTTGTTGCTGTTAAATCACTCTGTTACATGACCTGCTATATTGACCCCTGATGTCAGTCCTGTAACTACTTACTTTCCATCTATTCATTTTCACCTTGGAGAAAAATGCAGGGAAATCATTTTGGTGAACCACTAAGAAGTTAACATTTTCTTTGATCTTGTATAGTTCTAACACTGGGCATAGGTTCTTAGAAATCAAAATGCTATTTGATTGAAGTAAATCTGGTGTGAAGGGAAGTATGTTTACTGTGCTTGTAAGAGACATAAAATGTCATAAGTCTTCTATATCTTTCTGTGATTGGAAACAGAAAGCTACAAGCCATTTGATAGAACACTGTGATTTTCAGATATGATAAATAGTAAGGCAATTATTGTTAAAACACAATCCTGGAACAATATTCTTTGCATATAATTTATCATGAGTTTTTTGGGGGAAGATGATAGATAGATAGGTAGATAGATTAGATAGATAGATAGACAGACAGACAGACAGATGATAGAAGATTGACTAATGGAGAGACTATGTATGACACTATGAATGAGGGTGTTCAAAGCTTTTGGAAGCAATGGTGAATCCAGTACAGAGTGGGTTTTGGAAAGCATATCCAGAAGAAGAGAAGGAGGAGAAGGAAGAGAAGGAGAAAGAAAAGGTTTAGAGATAAGGTTTTCAAGAAACTTGTTGTATTGTTATTTAAGCCCTATTCATTAAAATATAATTCTGAATATTCCATATGAGCACTATTATTAGTACTACTATTAGCATATCCTATCTTTTCTCTTAGAACTCAATGTGGTTTTCAAGTTGAGGATTACCTCAGGTTTTCTTTCAAAATGTGCAATGATTAGTCAAAATAATGTACTGTCCTTGTTCAATGCTATAAACGTGGGTTATGATAGAAGAAACAGTAATTTAAGAATGTGCACCTTTTGTGCCTTTAACTTTTGGCTGGGTAGGCAGAAACTCTAAAGTTCAATGACAGTATAAGGAGGATGAAGCAAGAAAACAGCAACATATACATCAGTACATGGAAAAAGTAGACCAGGGGTCTTCAAACCTGGCCCTTTTATGACTTGTGGACTTCAACTCCCAGAATTCCTCAGCCAGCGTGCCTGGCTGAGGAATTCTGGGAGTTGAAGTCCACAAGTCATAAAAGGGCCAAGTTTGAAGACCCCTGAATTAGACAATGAAGGGCAGGGTGAGGTAGGGATAGAGCACCTCACTGAATATGGCTGACATGGCCTTAACACAACAGTTGTTATGTCAGCTGTTTATGCCTGATTCATGACGGATTACATTAGTGATAGGATATTTCAATATGCTGTGAGTTTATGGAGATATCAGGAGCTACCAAAGCCTACCACATTAGCTTTGAGACTGGATGATATTTTAAATGTAACACTTCCTAAAGCTAATCATTTGTAGTTGTAATTAATTTGGATTGAAATATTGTTTGAATATGCTCTGTGTCCAGTTTAACTTCTATTCATTTTCAGTTTTTATTTAAGAGAGGCTGGGGAAAGGAGAGCAACCCTGAATATAAATCTCCATCAAAGCCCCTCTGCTTTAATTCCTGTATTGGGTAAACAAATACACCCCCCCTTCCCAAATCTCCATAATTTCTACCCAGTTATAAACCAATGGCCTGTAACACCCTCTGAATAACTGCTGGTCAGCCAGCTGTTTCTCATTGTCTCTCTGGGGTTTTCTAAGTGTCACTTCCTGGCTGACTGCCTTCGCTCTGTCAGATATAACTGGAAGATAGCTGGCTTTTCTGAAGTACAAATTGCAATCCAGAACATTTCTTCTGAGATAAATGGTCACCTGATTTCCATCAGTGTAGCAGCTGGTTGCCAAACTAGTAGTTTCCACCTTGGTCAGTGAGCTGCGGACAAAATGATATATATACTTTTGGTTCTTTATTACATTTTATACTTTCCATCTTCTGTTCTTCCAATGTATTTTACAATGGCTATAAAAGTAATGGTGTCTTTGTATCAACCTTAAATTATTGACTCTCAGTTTAAGATACCTGTGGTAGACAACGTTATCTGTAAATGTGCCTTTGTACCAAAGCACATTTTCTATCTAGAGATGTTTAATAGTTAATAAAATTCTAAGGTGTTCCTGCTAGAATGTTGGGGGAATAGTAAAATTATTCTAGCCTATATTAAAAAATAAAATAAATGTCATGATATATATCTTACTTTTTAAATGGTTTTCAATCTCTACATCTCTATTAAAAAGAGAAAAAAATAGAAGGTTAGAAGTGGGCCAAATAGGTTAGCCATTTTTCCCCTTGTATACAAGAAGGAAAGTAATTAGATTTGTTTGGGGGTAATTGATTTTGTTTTTCCCCCCTCCCTTTCGGAATATGAGAACAGGAGGGTAAAAGAATAAATTACAATGTGTATATTGCTGTGATTTATGCTTCTGCTTATTAATCTTGCCTATTTCTTCATTTTCTTAACAAAATTACAGCTGAACCGTTGCCTTAAAAGTATATTTTGGTGACTGTCTCCGCTTCATTTCCAGATTTTGCTCTCTCGGACCGTATTCAGTGTACAAACCAGGAAAATTGTGAGGCATCTTTCAGTCTGTTTGGACTTCATGTTTACAGAAGAGAGATGGAGATGCCATTAGAAACAAAAAGGATTTCTCTGTGCCTGATTCTCTTTGTATTAAATTTGGCAGCAGCTATTGAAATCCCGCTTACTGGTAAGTTATAGCTATTTGCTGAATATTCTTCTACTGGTGATTAGATTAGATCTTACCAATGTGTTGTTTCCATTTTGAGCTTTATTTTTTTTCCTAGTGTGGCCTTTTGAGAATTTCTATGTGACAGAAATTGCAAGTTTCGTTTTCTTTTTTTATGCAAAGCCATCAAAAGGTACATATAGCACATGGATAGCTGACTGAAGAGTCTTATGAATCAGTCACTAAAGCTGTGATTTCCAAATTTAGACAGAAGGTTCACTAGAATTTTTTGGGTATCCAGACAGGACAGAGAAACTCAAAGTGAGTATCAGAAAAAATGGTGACAATAAATAATAATATCATTCAATATTTCTTCAAATATTTATTCCAGAAAAAATATCAGCCAAGAGTATTTAATGAAACAATTTTTTGTTGCTTTGCGTATATTGTTATTTATCTAATTATAATATATTTTAGCTGCCATTCATGACTGCAATGGCTTGCAATATATAAAACCATAACTTAATAAAAACAGCTGTGATTTAATTACAGCCTAAATTACATTCATCTCATTTTCTCGATTTTATCTTATTAATGACAAAATGTGTAGAAGTTCTAGAGATTTGTTCCAATCCCATCTATTTTTATGTGAAAATTTGCTATTGCTTGTCATATACTGGATATCTCACAAGTTTTTCCAAGGAGAACTTTTGAGATGATTTTTTTTGTATAGACAGATGATAAAAATAAGTCATAATACTTTCTTGGCTTATTAGGCCTTCCTTCCTTCCTTCCTTCCTTCCTTCCTTCCTTCCTTCCTTCCTTCCTTCCTTCCTTCCTTCCTTCCTTCCTTCCTTCCTTTCTTCCTTCCTTCCTTCCATATTCTTAATAATTACATTGTCATTGTCAACCAAAATATGAGATACTTCAGATCTGTTGTTATATGTAGCCAGCAGCTATTATGAATATGCTTATTGTCAAATTGATTCAATCAAAGTATTCCAAATCAAGCAGTCAGTGGTAAAGGATCAAAGTTAAAAGTATCTTAGTAAGAAAAAGGTGTCAGAATAATTCTTGTGTGATCCTCATGGTTCCCAGCTGGCTGCACTTTTCCCAAGTTCTGCTGAGAGAGAGAGTCACTGATGTTTTCACTGAGCAGATTAGTGTACCTTTATAAGTAGGATACTATTCTTTTTTTCAATTTCCTATCAGCCCATTTTCTGTCTTAGCATTAGACCTCCCATGGTAGCAGGAAATTATTTTGTCTAATTTGACTGTAGACTGCCATTATTAGGCAGAGAGGACAAAATTGTGTACAAAGAAGTATGTTTCATAGAGAACACTAGCATCAGAAAAGCTGAATGTGACTATTATACAGAAATATTTTGCTTTGTAATGTGTGGGAAAGTGTATGAAACACCTTGCTTTGAATTGTTAAAGCAGCCATTTTTTTCCCCAGATTTGTGGACCTTCTAGCTCAGGGGTCTTCAAACTTGGCCCTTTTATGACTTGTGGACTTCAACTCCCAGAATTCCTCAGCCAGGCACACTGGCTGAGGAATTCTGGGAGTTGAAATCCACAAGTCATAAAAGGGCTAAGTTTGAAGACCCCTGGTCTAGCTACTTTAATCATTCATAGAGATGTGTTTGTTCAGAATTTGCATAGTTCTAATGGCTGTGGAAAAATATATATATATTTTCTAGTATTGAGTTCGCAGTAAATGATTTACCTTTTCAGAGCTGGTGGTTGAATTCTCTTATAAATTGCAAATTTGGATTCCAGATCACCCATTATTTAGAATCATCTCCTCAAATTACATGGCCTTGCTTTGACCCCATTTTTTCATCTGAATTCTTAATTTTTGTTAATGAAGGTTTTAATGGCTTTAATAAACATGAATCATATCTGGCTATAAACAAGATAGGCAAAGCCTGGTTCCATTGCCAGTGTAGATGAAGAGGTACCATATGGCGTGGCAAGATACCACATTCTCTTTGAGCAGTGAGTTTTCCAGTTCACTAGGTTTAAAGACTTTCTAGCCAGTTCTCTAATATTAATTCCTGTAATTTATAACACAGTGGTAATTCTATTATGGTCAATTACTCTTCAGGGTACAATTTCCATTTTTATAGTTTGGTTATGTGAAGATTCACAACACTTTAATTTCTTCAGCATAATAAAAGAATGTAAATCTATGAAATAGATGATTTGCATAGTTGTGAGTCCATCCATTCTGCTTCTGAGGGTATATGGTTTTGAATATGAAGGAACACTCCCCCCCCCTTTGTCTATACTCAAGTACATACAGCAAGGACTTGTATTACAGGACATACATGCTTAGTTATGAATCTTTTTTGCCTGTATCCAAAAATACATTACCAGGATTGACCTGAGCCATTAGAAGAGGGGTGTCAAACTGCCGGCCCATAGGCCGGATGCGTCATGCTGAAACCATGCCCACCCCAGTTCCAGCAATGGGGAAAAAGTCATGATATGTCCTGACATGTCACGTAACGTGGCGAGTTTGACACCCCTGCATTAGTAGAATAGTTGTATTTTCTCCTCTAGAATTTTAATGTTGATAAGAAGTAATAGTGATACACACACACACACACACACACACACACACACCAAAGGCAGCTTACTCAATGCTCTCCCTTCTGTACCAGAGAGAGAAAAAGGGACAGGAAGCCCCATCCAAAGTATGGTGGCATCTGGAATTAGGATATGGATCATGAAACCATGCAATTGAAAACCAAAAAGGCCATTGGTTTATTAAAGCTCTAACCATATAGATGCTCAGCTGAGTTTGAACTCTGACCATAGGAAGACAAATATAAGGAAGACCTGATAAGTTAACTTCCATAATAACTGGATACAGAAAGTATAAATTATAACTTATTTAAAAGAGCATTGTAATATTCAACCTTAAGATCACTGGCCCACGCGTCATAGACACCAGGACTATGTGGACAGACCCTACGAACAGAAGCATAACTTCTATTGGCAAAAGCTGATAAAGGGCGCCCCTTGCCATTGTTACTATGTGGCTATCCAGTACTAAAGAGAATTCTCAGAATGCAAACTTGTTCCTTAAGGGAGACTAGAACTCCCATCCAGAAAAGGCGCATCACCTGAGCCTCGGAGCCCAACCCCTGGAATCAGCAACAATTCTGCCTTGTCCAAGTTTCATTTCAGATCATTTTTTCTGTACTCTTTCTAGAGTCTCAACATCTTTTTTACATCGTGGTGACCAAAACTGGATGCAGTATTCCAAGTGTGGCCTTACTAAGGCACTGTAAAGTGGTATTAATACTTCACGTGATCTTGATTCTATCCCTCTGTTAATGCAGCCCAGCACTGTGTTGGCCTTTTTGGCAGCTGCAGCACACTGCTGGCTCATATTTAAGTGATTGTCCACTAGGACTCCGAGGTCCCTCTCTCAGTTACTACTATTGAGCAAGGTACCCCCTATACTATACCTGTACATTTGGTTTTTCTTGCCTAAATGTAGAACCTTACTTTTTTCACCATTGAATTTCATTTTGTTAGATAGCGTCCAGTGTTCAAGTCTGTCCAGATCCTCCTGTATCCTAAGCCTGTCTTCTGGAGTGTTGGCTATTCCTGCCAGCTTGGTGTCATCTGCAAATTTGATGATTTCCCCATCTATCCCCTCGTCCAAATCGTTGATGAAGATGTTGAAGAGCACTGGGCCCAGAACAGAGCCCTGGGGCACCCCACTACACACTTGCCTCCATGTAGATATGGTTCCATTGAGGACCACACGCTGAGTATGGCCAGTCAGCCAGCTACGGATCCATCTTTCATAGGATCAAAATTTTAAAGTCATAGTACTAAACTCTGAAGTTGATAATTAATGCATTTTAGCAGAGAATGTACTGTAGTTGCAGTTGCAGAGATATGTAATAAGACTGAATGAAAATGGAAAGGCTAAATTTATTAACCTCACAATTAATGTTAAAATTAATTTCTCAGATTAATGTCTTCATTATTATTTTTGTTTTTTCTCTGTTACAAAAGGTTAAGATGTAAGTCTTGAGCTCATTCCCTTCAGTGAAATTCCTTTTGAATAACACTGCTAGGAAATCCAAACCAAAGTGAATAGAAGATATGCAAACTCTTTTTGGGCAGCACAACCCACTCATGTCTGAAATGGTTGCCATGAATATCTGTTTTTCTGTGCCCCTCCCTGAATGATAAAATGCTATCTTACTGTATTATATATATATATATTAGCACAAATCTGGATAACCACTAGATCGAGATTTTAGTATCTTTTCACTAAAGTCATTTGGATTTTACAATTTTGCTCTGGAAGCACTATTATAAAGTCATTTGAGCATGTGTTCATATGTAATAATAGATGATTATTGGAAGGCAGTTTAGATATTATTACAATATTTTCCATGGATATACTATATTGTTCCTTAGTTTCTCAAAATTCTGGTGTTCACCAAGAAAACTTTTATTTAGAATGATTCTACCAGACAGTGGAAGTTTAGATAAGTAAACAATGTATTGTAGATACTGTAGAGATACTCATCCTTCCATTGGAGCTCGAAGCAGCATATATGGTGGTTTCCTGTTATTTTATTTGACAGCAAAAACTTTGTCAATTCAGTTGAGCTGAGAGATAGTGACTGACCTGAAGTCGCCCAGTGAACAATCAATAGAGAGTCTAACCACTCAGATAGATTTTATTCAGGATAAGCTGTCTCCAACCGGGTCTTTTAGATCTATAGCATCTACTGCTGCTGTAACTGAGTTCATTCATCATACTGCTATTTGTCCTGTTTATCTTGTTCTTTCCCTCTTTCCTAGCAGTATGAATTTCTGAAAAGATCTACTGTAGGTGTTACACATAATGTACTCAAAATATGCTAGTTTAAACTAGATACAAACTACATTTGTATCTCTGATGGGAACTCAGAATTAATTTGTTTTCTTGGTTATTTATGGTATTTTCAAGCATCTTCTCCAGGATCAAAGTGTCCCTAGTTTTAATTCCATCCCACTCCACTGTAAAATAATTGCTACTTATCTAATCTCACTTTTGGATCAGTGGAGAATATTTTTAGTAGCTGCTCTTATTTTGGGGGAATGTCCTGTTGGTTTTCTCTATGACAGAAAGTGAAAACATAAGCAAATAGGGCTTCCAGGTGTATTTTATCTTTGTGTATTTCAGTGCGACAGCTCCCAGCAATAACAACACAGCCAACAGATCAGGTTGCTTTCCCTTTCGATGAGGAATTTTCAATCAAGTGTGAAGCTAAAGGAAACCCCCAACCAATGTAAGCTTTACTGATTTGTGACTTTCTGAACATTTATTTCTCTTTTAGTGTTTTTTTTAACCTTTGGTTTTCATTGTTTTCTTTAAAAAAATGTTTATCTCCCTCCCTCTTGTAATCATTTATTTATATGTATATTCTGCCTTTATTTTTATAAATAAAGCAGCAAACATACCTAATACTCCTTCCTCCTCCTAAGAGATACTTCAACAAAAACCCTGTGCGATAAATTAGACTGAGAGAGAATGACTGGCCCAAAGTCAAGTTTTCATGCCTAAAATGGGAATAGAACTCATGGTCTTCCACTTTCTAGTCCAGTGCCTTAACCATTAGACCAATCAACTAGCCTGTATTGTTGGATGACCTGAAGGCACCAATCACAAATGAAATATAAAATCAGCCTAAAAGGATTTGCTCAGTGTCTTAATTTTATAATCTATTCTTAACAGTATCCAGATTAACCTCAGAATTGAACTGTATAAGTAGGGCATGCTAATGTTCTAGTTGCTACTAACCATGTCCTGTTTGTAGTTTTAAGTTGGAAACGATCAAATTGTAATTAAGTTCCTGTAATCCAAACAATTTTCGATTGTTACCATAGAACATTATTTCCACATAGAGCTCAAAGTGCAGAAGCTACATACATTTGGGAAAGGAAAAACAGTGATAATCCCATTGTGCTCCATTCAGACCATTCATTATGTTCCCCATTCATTCAGGACACTTTTACCAAAACAAGAATGAACTTGGCCTGTCATGAAATACAAGTCATTACAGAGTGAGGTCATGAAATGCAGGCCATTACAGGAGAAGAGGCAGTTTGAAAAATAGAGAATTTAGTTAGACAAGGATGAGAATATCTAGATTTCTTGTTTCTTTAGTCTACCAATTCACATGCGTATAGCTTCAAAGATAGCCCAGTATCTTCTATTTGAAACAGAACTGTTGGATAATGCAAGGCATGATTTATACTATGCATCCTGGCAAAATACATGAAATATGCAACATCTAGAAGGAGATTTATATGTCTTTTGCATGACTTTGCTTGTATATCCAGTCCATACATAAATATAAACATGCTTATTTTGATATGTACATGTTATTAAAACCATGAAAGGATTATATATTTTGAACTTATCACATTTTCTAGGCTACTGAATGCAGACTCTTTGGCTATCCAGATCTAATTTAAGAAGGACTCAAACTGGCAAGATTTAAGATCAAAGCTTTCATAGGCAGCACTTTTTTAGCTAAAGATTTTAATTAGAGTAATACAAAATAATGAAAACTAAACTCAGGGAAGGGAAGGAGAAAAAAAAGCAACAAAGGGAACAAATAAAAAAGAGAAAAAAGGATGAGTGAGACAAAGAAAAAAAGAAATATATAAAGAAGTAACTTCCAATCTTCATCACAAGTATAAACAAGCTTGATAGTTCTTCACTCCCTATAAAGGTTTTTAAGAAGAGACTAGACAGCCACTTGTCTGAAATGATATAGGGTCTCCTATTTGAGGAGGGGGTTGGACTAGATGACCTCCATGGTTCCTTCCAGCTCTATTCTGACACCTGGATTTGTACATTGAAATGTTGCATAGGCAAACAATAGCACTTCTATATTTCACATGGTCATCCAAGGACACTGAAGGAAAGTTTATGAAGGCTAATGACTAATTCTTCAGTTATAATTATTACACTATGCAGTCTCTAGATAAGCATTAGATCAGATCTTCTACATTCTTAGGAACAGTTCTAAATATTGTATTTTATGTAATATTTGCCTCTCAACGCATACATTGAAGATTTACTGAGATATTTATCCTTTAACTTGTGATTTTGAGTGGCCCAATATAGAATGCAATATTATATTTCAGTTGATTTTATCAGAATGTATTATATGAAATATATCTAATATGTAGTCATTCTGATTTATTCATGCATAGATGAGAAGGGGCAAGACAAAAATATTAAGATTTCTGGTATTTAATTTATAAAATATTGATACATTATAACTGTTTCAAAATTATTTAATGCTATTTAATGTCATTTTAGCTTTAACTGGACAAAAGATGGGAAACCATTTAGTCTGTTGGATGACTCACGGATAACTACATTTAATAATTCAGGAACGTTTGTAGTTAAAAATCGTGGGAACATATCCCTTTTCCAAGGAAAATATCGCTGCTATGCATCCAATGAATTGGGAACTTCTATGTCAGAGGAAATTGAGCTAATAGTTCCAGGTGAGTATTCATGATAATAATGATTGTTATTTCAATGTACTTTCCCTAAACAGCTAAATTGTAAGATGCTGAACATCTTGTTTACTGCTATGGTAGTTCATTGCCTTAATTGTAGCTAACTTGATGTGGGATTTATAAGAACCACTCAGGACTTAGAAGGGCTTTGAACAATACAGATATTTTGTTTTGGAGAATTGTGACAAGCATTCCCTATATTATAGTTGAGTCTTAAGTATTCCTTTTGGATTCTCCCTTTTCATCCACTTTCTCAATGATACATTTAGGAATACATCAAATGGCAATAAATGTAGTGGGACTTCTTCGAAGAGTAAGAATAAAGAGTTAGGAAAGTTGATTATGAATTCTTTTCCTTTGAGCAACTCTATTCAGCATTTTTAATTGGAGATATTAGAATTTAATTTAAATGTAAACCTTAAATGTAAAAATTCTATAATCCACATTAGTAAAGTCTCCTTCAAACGTAGCTTGGCTCCTGATGTTTTTATGGACACATAATCCCTTAACATTCATAGCAGCATTGAGAGGGTTTTGCCATAGCCTTATTTCAGAATGTTTTTCAATTTCATTTTCTAAAGTTCCAAGTATGTCCTGGTGGTCTCCCATCCAAACAGTATTCAGGATTGATTATGGTTAGCTTATAAGTTCAGGTGCTGCCATCAGCTAAAACTGGTGGTCTACAGTAACAGGCTTTATT